TGGGAGGCGGGGCCACGATCGGCCATGATCAAGAGTCCCAGCCACTCCCCCTGCCCCCACCAAACTTTTGCATGCTACCACAGGCTCCCAGCACCGATCACGGTCCCGCCTCCCAGCCACTCCTCCTGCCCCCGCCAGGCTTCCGTCCGGTGCCCAACTGGAAAAACAGAAAATACTGGACATTGCACATGTCCGGTATTTTCTGAATTTTTTTTGCCAGACAAAGGGCGCAAAAACCAGACTGTGGGGTAGAATACCGTACACCTGGCAACCCTATGGGCCTGCCCTAATAAATGTGTTAATTGGTGCTACACGATTCCTTGGTTTTGCTGAAACAGACTAACATGTTGCTCTGAAACTTGTGCTGTGTAACTGCATTTCATTGGTGAGTTAGGTGATTCAAAGGGAAGAAATCTTGTCTTCTGTTCTGGCTTTTTATTGTGGGTTGTGCCTTTCCCCTGGGATCCCAGAGAATTGATTTGGGGTCTCTGGACACTACCACAATACAAATAAATAATAATAATAATTATTATTAATAACTGGGAAAAACTCAATCCTGTTTGCTTCAGGGAGGAAAAGTTCATGCCAAGAAGACTTTTGGGAATAGTCTCAAAGATCTCCATGCATCTTTGTTACTATATAGGCGATTTCTGCTGTTTTACTTAATAGGCTGCTGTTTAACCATAGGCTACTGCTTGCAGGCATTAAGAGCTTTCCCTCCCTACCCACCCTCCCACCCTGGCTGCTGGAGGGGTAAGCCTGGAAAGGAGAAAAAAAAAGTTTTGCTGTGAATTCTTCAGCCATTTAGTGCAAATTCCTGTAATTACCGTCATTGTGTCCTGTCTGAATGGCACATAATACAGCAGAAGCCTTTCCTAATTGAGACCTTACAGGAGGTACAAATCCCTTCTTTGTTCAGCCTGCCAAATTAGTGCCGGAAAGTGGCAGGGTCCGAGTGGGAATCAAAGGAAAGCAACACAAAGATGGAACTTAAGGCTACAGTAATAACCCGCTCTTGTCTTGCAGAAAAAAAAGTAATGACCAATGAAAAATGAAGTTTTTTTGTTATAAATTCCCTTGACATGACAGCACCTCAGGGCTGCTTTATTTATTTAGTAAAAGTGATTAAACAGTAATACAACAGGGCAGTCCATTGTCTGCCATGCTACCGCCCACCCTACAGACCCCTGCTGCCTTGGCTAATTGATTGACAATGAACCTCTGATAAAGAAATTTGTTGGGAGGTTTGATGGGTTTTTCCCTCCTCTTTGTTTCTTTGTCTGAAGTTTCTTTTTGTTTGAATTGCACTCCATATTCCCCCTCCCCCTTTTAAATGCTTTTCAGGGACAGCTCCCAGACAAACAGCTGACAGTCGCAAACAGGTAGAGAAGAATGAAAATCTCTGTGCCTAGCCTTTGACAGGTTTATCTTGGGCAGACTAGCACTTTCCAACCATGGATGTAAGCCAGGGCAACAGAGT